CACTCAACTGGTGACAAAGCAGTGGGCAGAGGGCGCCAGGCCAAGCATGACTCAGCTGCCCCCAGGGGTCACCCCTCACATTTGTCACCATTAAGGCAGGTGGGTCTGGGCAGTTGTGCCCCTGCCATAGGGTCAGAAACCAGGATGCCAGCCACAGAGCCACAGTCCTGAGGGCCAGACTCAGCCAGGGACCCCCGCCCTCACTGCCCAGGGGCCAAGGGGACTCAGCTATCTCAGGAGACCAGCCCAGCTCAAACCCAGGTCTCCCCTGCAGGTCTGGGACAGTGGTCAAGCCAGGCAGGCCTTGGGTCTCCAGGGACAGGAGGGACCCTCATTATGGGACAGCTCCTCAGGCCAGCAGATCAAGAGGCCATTGGATGAGACTGTCCGGGGTGGGGGTGGCTCTCTGGGGCCTGGGTCCTTTCCCAGTGACGTCATGGGAAGACAGGGCTAATGCCTGTCTCAGCTCACTGGCGGCTCCCTCAGACAAGAGCTTGGTGATGGCCCAGAAGAGTGACGATGACATCGCTCATGGTGTGCCAGGCTCTATACCCAGTGCTTGAGATTTCTTGGCTCACTTAACCCTCTCAAGGTGCCATTGCTGTTATTTATTGTTGTTGAATCATTAAGTGGTGTCTGACTCTTTTGCAACCCTATGGACTATAGCCTACCAGGCTCCTCCGTCCATGGATTTCCCAGGCAAGAATACTGCAGTGGGTTGCCATGCCCTTCTCCAGGGGATCTCTCCAACCCAGGGATCGAACCTGCATCTCCTGCATTGGCAGGTGCATTCTTTACCACTGAATCACTAGGAGCCCCAAGGTGCCAGTACTAGCCTCATTTTGAAGATGACAAAAATAGGCACAGAGAGGCTAATACACCTGTCCAAGTTCACACAGCTGGCCCAGAACGGGGCAACCCCAGAGCCACCCATCTTGTGCTGCCTCCCCCAGGGGGACAGCTGAGCTGGGCGATGGGGAAGCAAAGGTCCAGGACAGCTGGGAATGGGGGTCTACTGTTCAAGGGCCCATACAGCTCGGGACTGATTCAGATGATTCCCACAGGGTCTCACTTAGGGATTCAGGTATCCCTCTTCCCGTTTGACAGCCTAAGGAACGAAGCTTAGAGAAATTAAGCCACCTGGTCAAGGGCAATTGGAACTCAGTTCTAACTGAACTACTGTGTGACCGAACCTGAAGCCCAAACTTTCAGCAGAGGTTTAGGGAAGACTCATCAAAGCTGCCCCCTGTGCCGAGTACATGCTTTGCAGGCATCTCCCCCAAATTCCAGCAACAACCCTGCGGGGGTGGGGGTGGTGTCACCTCCATGCACAGGTGTGAACACTGAGGTCTGGGGAGGTTGTGACCTTAGGCAGCAGGATACGAGCCTGAAACTCCTCTGCCCTCACCTGTGGGCCCAGAGAGCTAAGGGCAGGGCTTCTGGGAGGAGGAAGGCAGAGACCCGGGGACTGGAGGGAAGTCAGAGGTGGCCCTGATCTCTCACTACTGCTCATCTTGGAGGTAGTGTGAGTAGCCCTGAGCCCCGGGAGCCAGGCTGGAGCCATCAGCTGTCTAACTGCCATCCTTTCAGGGACCAGAGCTGGGCTGGCTCCCGGACAGAGAGGCCCCCACCCCCAGGCCATCTCTAATGCAGAAGTCTGTCCACTGGTGCCCGGAAGACCTGCCAGCTCCTCCAGGGCTCAGCTTTTATCTCAGCCTGCCTGGAACTGCCAAGTGCGCCACAAACTGCCTGAACCTGAGCCAGCGCCAGCCCAAGAGCCCAACTCCCACCACCCTGGCCTCCCCACAAAAACACAAGTCAGGCTGTGGTGGGGGGTGGGGGGTGGGTTCCTGCTGATGCCCAGGTATTTCTCGGTCTCTTGCGGGCTGGGAGGCAGGAAGACATCCCCCCTCAAGCTATTACATGTATCTTTGGGCCTCTGTGCACCCATCTGCCCAAGGGAAAGATCATAATAGTAAAGGCCAACATGTGGGACAAGCGCTGGTGTCAGCACTTCACTGCATTAGTCCTTCAGGCTCAAAACAGCCCCTGAAGTAGATACTGTTGTGTTTTATCTACTTTTTCCAGATAAGGAAAATGAGGCGCAGACATCCAAGTTCACACAACCCGAGAGGAACAAAGCTTTTCCCAGATAAGTGGCCTTGCCTTCTCCGTGGGTTCTGTTGCCCTAAAAGCACATGGGCTTAACAGTGGCAAGGATGGGGTTCAGGACAAGGGCACATGTCCTCTGGCCCCCAGCAGGGAGTCCGGCCTGGCTGAGGAGTCCCCTTCCCATGGAGAGGGGCAGAAGAGCACCGTGGACAAGAGCCCAGACTCTGGAGCCCCCAAGATAAGAGGTCAGCCCTGGAGGAGCCTCCTGTGCCTCAGCGCTCTCATCTCTAAAATGGGCACACCAGGAGCTCGTAGAGTGGGAATAAAGGTGTCTTCAAAACGCTGAGCCTAGGGCCTGGCAGAGTCTGAGGGCAGTGAGGATCCAGGACTGTTCTAGTCCAGCTAAGCCCCCAGGGAACCAGAGAGAGTTTGGGGCTTGAGGGGCCTGCAGGGGGTGGGGGTGTCTCAGCCCACCTGTGCCAGAGCAGGCACCCAGCAGGGGTCAGAAAATATGTATCTTGTGCTCCTTCCTCCAGTAGCTCCAACCTGACCCCTAAATCTTCAGGGCTCCCTAGGGACCCCAAGAAACTCTGGCAGAGGGCAAGCCTGGGGAGGCTGGGGCCCAGCCAGGACCCCACCCCATTCGAGAGGCCCCTCGGTACCAGCCCTGCCCTGCCCTTCCCTACCCCCACTTGCCATCTGCCTGATCCCTGGGGTCCGGTCCCCCCAGCTGCTGGGTTTGCTCACGTGATGCCCCAGCTGCTGTGAGTCAGAACACAGAGTCACAGGGCTGCCCTGGGATCAGGCTTGGGGGTGCTGAACCTGCTCTGGTTCCAGGTGGGGTGGCAGCAGTGAGATTTGGGGCTGTGTGGTCACATTTCCCCCACCCCCCAACAGCCCTGCCCCTGACTCTTCACTCCAGCCCCCGCCACCCACCATGGTCTTGCTGAGGATGAAGTGACCTGGGGCTGGACTCACCCAGAGCACTGTCCACGTACGTGGCCTCCTTCATGGCAGATTCTGCCCTGCCCATCTTGCATCTGTCATGCTGGACCTTGCTAGGAAGCCCACCCCCCACTGCACACGGACCTGGCCACAGCTCTGCCACCTCTTTTACCTGTCCTTCTCCTGGACTGGGCGACCACCATCCCCCTCTGTCCCCTCAGCCATGAAGCTGCTCCCTCCAAGCAGGAGCCTTGGGCCTGGGGTAGCCAGACCCTCCCCTCCCCCCTTAACAACCCTGCCCTCCTCATCCAGCTTGGGTGGCAGCTCCCTTCCCCTGCGAGCAGACTGCAACCTGCCGGCCTGGCTACCAAAATGACACATGCCAGCTCTCCAGTACCATCACCTGCCCCAGTCCTCCCAGTTCTCATCATTCCCAAGCCTTTTCCCACTGCAGTTTCTCAGCCAGGAATGCCACCCCGCCACCCCATCAGCCTTCCCCCTCTCCCCACTAGCCTCCAAGGCCAGCCTCTATGCCCTCTGCGGAGCCTCCCATTCTCCCAGGTCAGGAAATTCTCTCCTCCTCCGTCAGCAAGCTTATCTCCTTCCTCGGGCCTCAGATCCTAATTGTCTTGTTTGTTTGTGTCCCTGACAAGTTGAGGGTGTCCTGCCCAGTGGCCCAGGTAACCACCGAGGCTGGCAACCACGGAGCAGGCTGTCTAGCAGAGCCTCTGCCTCCCTCAGAGCCACGCCCGCCCGGAGTGGTGTCCTTCACAACCCGACCCTCTCAGAGCCAAGCCCAGGACGGGAGGCAGGGCAGCTACTACCCCCCACCCCAACACACACTCCCACTTATCAGCAGGGCCACTGTGCCCAGAGAGAGAGAGGCAAGGCAAGGTGGCCGCGGTGGTGCTAAGACCAAGGTGGGGATGCATCTCAGGCCCCTGGGGTCCCTGCAGCCAAAGGGCTCAGGTCTGGTCCCAAGAACTAGTCCTGCCCTGGTCATTGGCAGGGAAGACCCTGCGGGACCCCTGTCCTGGGATCTGGGGGACCAACTCAGCCCCTGATGGTTCTCACTGACTCCAGACCCTTCTCCCCCACTCAGTCCCGAGGAATCAACACTCTGCCCTCAGCATATCCCCACTGGGGGTGGCGTGGGGTGGGTAGGGCAGGCGCTTGGCTCTGGACCGCCCACATCCCATTTGTCTCATTCAAATGCATCCCCACCCCCAGAACAGTACCAGGCACACAGTAGGCACTCAATTATTATTTATATAATTAACCTCTTGGGCCCTCTATAGCCACAAAGGCTATTCTTCCCCACCCCACTTCGCCCAGGCCAGAGCTGCTCCAAGCAGGATGGTAGTGGTGGCGGCGTGGTGAGGGGTCCCCTGCCTCAAGTCATGCCCCCCCAACCCTCCTCAGTAAAATGAGCACCAGCCACCTCTGTGGGGGCCATGGGAGACCCCAACTCCCATGAAACAGCACCACAGGAAGGAGGCCGGTTGGGAAGGAGGTGGGGAGAGGACCCAGCCATCCCCCAGGTGGGGAGGCCCTATCAGCTCTTAGCAGATGGGGGCCTGGGGCCTGGCGGTTAGCAAGCGGGGAGCACTTCCCCATCGTCGGCCACTGGTTCCCAGGACGTTCTGTCTCATCCCGGGTCCCCCGTGTTCAGACCCCCCTGCCCGGTTCATCTCCTCTCAAAGGCAGGGCCCGGGCCATGAAGAGCCACGGTACCCCTGGCTCCATAGGCGGCGGGGATCCCCGGGACGCAGACCCAGGGCAGCTGCAGGCCAGGCTGCCCCTCAAGGGCCCGTGCCCAGACACCTTGCACTATTCTCCCCTCCCCGAGGCCAGAGGCTGGCTTTCCCTCCCCAGACTCGTTCTGTCATCTCTCACAACCTCGCTTCTCCCATCTGAACGGTGGGGGCAGGAGACAACAGTAC